GGAAGAGAGCATCAAGCACCCAGTCCTCCCTCCAAAGCGCCTTTGCCTTGACCATTATTTACAAGATACAAGGGTTAATCCTACCGCATGTAACGTTGAATGCCGACGAAAACATATTTACCGAGGGACAAAATATATGTTGCGATGAGTCATTAGAAAAATTGCATATCATTGATTTTGACCACTTTCAGTTAAAGGTCTCTAAAGCAGCGCTAGAAGAATATAAGAGTTAATGCTGAAGGATTACAAATTTAACAAGATGGTAAAAAAAAAGCAAATCTGTCTCTGGATTCAATCTATTTCAACGTTGTCTTGATTTACCGCATGAAAATTTGCATGTATTACTTTGAAGGAGTGAACGACCTTAATCTATATTTGTCAATAAAGCAGTGTATAGTACGGGAGATAAAACGTTATATAGAAAGTATTCATTACATGATCATACTCGGAACGAACAGAGTCAAGATGGTTCAACTTTTACCAAGTGGAATTTTTTGGGAAGGATGAGATAAAAACAAGGTGCTCCTTATGATTAGGCTACCTGTTATATATGAATTTTAAAAATGACTCGGCCTTTTTTATTTTTAAAATAATAATATTATTAACTAATTACCATAACCATAGATATTGTGTGCGATCCGAGTTATTTATTACGAAGTCACCAAATCTGGTACACAGCCAATAATGTTCAAACTAAATTAAAATCACTATATACAACTACACTACTTGAGTAGGGTTTTTATTCGAATAAGGTTATTCAAATTATTCATTATGAATTTGAAATATTCGAATTACATTGAATGTCTATTATTATTCGAATAAACGAACAATTCGAATGAAATAGATAAAACGCATAATTCAAAAACGAATCGAGTAGAAACGAATAAAGCGAATGAACAATTCGAGTAGAATTATTTTGGAATTGACGAAATGTGATAAAAAGAGATGACTATTTAACACGTATTAATATGGCCAATTACAACTTAACCTTTGGTCAGTTAATTACAAACAATTTGGTGCTTGTCAACTAATTGTTTACGAATTTACTTTGGTTTTCTCTTTCTGGTACGCGCATCTGTAAACACACTTATTGGCACCATTTAACTGTAAATAAATAAATAAAGACGACTCTTTTACAAAGCTCAAAAGCTTTTATAAATTCATCTGTGACCGAGTTATTCAGTTGTTTGCCTTTGCATTTATTAATATTGGCGCGTACCAATAAAAGATATACTTACGAGGGCAATACAAGTAGGGGAAAAAATTGATGCAAGACTAAAAAATACATATGCCCGGATAACAATTGCACATGTTGAGCCGATGGGAGATCCAAAGGCTGAATTGATTAATAGAGCTATACAAATGCCAAAGTCTGATATCATTGTAGCAAGTGCGAGTCGAAACGTGACCCTGTCGACTAATCGGGGATATTTATATCTTATATAAAAAAATACTAAAATTCCAAATGTAACTGCAACCAATGATACTACGCTTTCAACTAATGAAAACAGAAGATTAGTTTTTCCTTGCTCCTCGGTTACCGCATATGTAACAGTTTCTGTGTCACTAGGTACTGGATCCGACATTTTATATAGCCTAGTTAATAAGAAAAAGAAAAGAAAGAATGAGAGGGGGAGGAGAAGGAAAGACAATATTATTGACCGTTTATTTAAATGTTGAAAGGTAAAAAATTTACTTATTAGATCAAAAATCCGTTAGAATAAAAAATGGAGCAAAGTAACAAACAGGAGGTATTTATTTAGGTCAGTTTGGTTTGTTTTCTTCTAACGTTTTACTTTTTTAATTCCTGTTCCAATAGATGATTTTCTTATCATTTTCGATTGATTGGTTTATGTTTGTTTGTGGTGACAATTATTTTATTAATATTATGCATCATTATTTCTTGATAAAAACAAAACAAAACAAATTTGTCAATAAATTCCGTTTGCATAAACTATATTTCTTAAAACATTAAAAAATGAACTAATGCAATACCAAGTGAACCATGTATAAAAAAAAAAACTTTGGCCTAGACTAACAAACTTGATATTGGTGAGAAAAAAATACGTTCGAAATCAATGGTCACACAAACTGATCTGAACAGGTTTACCCTTGAATATATTTTTTTATTTCGAACAATATTAAAAAATCGATTTTCCCTGCATCATGCGCGGGATCAATCATTTAACTATAATAGATAATAAGGTTTATCTATAAAAAAAATCTCGTTTGACGCGATGTGATTGGATGTAATTGGTTACATATTTTGTATTTTACCACTAATTGAGACTAAATTATTTTAGTATTAGTTATAATGTATATGTACGCCCCAATACGCAAATTTTTGTGTCCATTTGTAGAATGATCATTATTTTGTTACCATTACCATTGTTTTTGCGTATTAAATATTAATATATAATTTCCCACACTTTAAAAAAAATAAAATAATATTAATACAAAATATTATAAATGATCAAAGAGACAATTTAATTTAATTGATAGATTAAATTTCAGTTCAGAATTAACGGCATTAATAGCAGAGGAATATATATCAATTGATGATAATGGGATTAATGAAGTGCCAACCAAAGAGGAAGATGTTCTTGTATAAAACGAAGCTGTAAATGTCTTTTAATTTTCTTGAACAAAATAATGTAACAAGCTTTAAAAACGTTGAAAAAAAATATTAGTTTTTTTCAGCAAGTAATTGACTATTACCATTTTAAAAT